CAAGAATGGACTGATCCAGTTAGACCTGCTGAGCGCGGTTGGCACGCCCAGCACCAGACTTTCTTTTCCGTCCACGGAACCCTCGAGGCTCTTCCCGCCAAGGCCTGGGTCTCCGCCCCTCGGCGTCCGGGCGCAAGCGGGACTGCGCATGTGCGCGGCCGGGCCGGCTCGGATCCTCCCTGCGGCTCTCGGGACAAGGAACCATGGCGGTAACGGATGAGAGCCTGTTGCGCCAGTGCCCGCTGCTTCTGCCCCAGAACCGAGCGAAAACCGTGTATGAGGGATTCATCTCGGCTCAGGTACCCGCCCGGTTGTTGCCTTCTCGCTAAGAGNAGAGGCCTCCCTCGCGGGGTGCAGCTCCGCCCGTGGAAGCGTGGGACAGGCGGACAGGAGCCTGGACTGGTGGGGATTGAGAGGGGCGGCGCGAAACGGCTCACGGGAACCCGGAGGCTCGGGAACCGCCGCCGCTGCTGCTAGTAACGCGTCCCTCGCTGTCGCCCCCAAGCCAGGGCCGGGGTCGCAGCGCGGGATCGGGCGCGGGGCCGGGCCTGGGCCACGCCCCCTCCGCACAGAGTTTTGCCTCCGTCCTAGTTGAGCGTCTGCTTCGCATTTAACTTTTTTTTTGTGGGGGTTGGGTGGGGGTGTAAATTTTGGCCTACCCCGATTCTAACACCTTCCACCCCCACGGATGTTGGTGGGGCAGTTCACAGGAGAATCTGAGCGAATTATATTCGTGTTTCCTGTGGAAGGAACATTTTGGAGGAAAACTTCATTTTGGCCCTTTGCCAAGTCCTGTATACTTGTGCACCTCCAGTTGCCATATTTTGTGGGAAATCTTGACAAAAACGGAATTAATTACCTTTGCTGATTCCAGTGGGCTCTCTTACGGAGTTTATTACTAACACATTGAACGTAGTAACACACTTGTAGAGTTTTGAAGTTCACATAGCGCTTTCCAGTACAATATCTCACTTGATCCTCAGACCTTTGAGGCACAAGTTTTTAAAAATCATTATTCCCATTTTTATAGTTGAGGAAATCAAGGCATGGGAAACCAGAGAGTTTAAGTAACTTGTCCATGATTGCATCAGAATACTTTAAACTCAGGCTGTATGATTCCAGTCTCGGATTTCTGCCCCCTTTACGTTGCACCCCGACACCTTAGGTTAGGATTTTAAGTATAGACTTTTCCTCACTTGACCATTACACACCAGAACACTTTTTTTTTTTTTTTTTTTTTTTTTTTTA